TCCCTCAAGGTACCTGCACATCTTTTTAAAAAGCGGGTGGTTACTTCAATCCCCTTGAATATTCTGAGAGACAAAAACTGTTACATGTTTATGCCCATTCTGCTACGTCGGGAGTACTGCCAGTGGGAGCAAAGGTTAGATCTGTTAGACATTAAAAGAAAGGTATTTTACGTGCTAAATTCTCCCTAAAGCGTAATTGTTTTTTTTGTTAGTAATTTATACACAGAGTAGCATCACTTTTTCTCATCCAAAATTTAGGTTATTCCTTGTACATTTTAGTAAAGACGTTTCATTTTAAGTCATTTTCTGTCACTAACACCTCCAAACACTTAACTCTACGCTAATGTACTTCTGTTAGTTGACGTTAGCTTCACACCATGTCAGTAATTGCAATCCTTCTTCACATCAAAAATGCATACTTTGCGGAGGACTGCTTTTCCCGAGCACTGCACTGGTGGAGGCAATGAATGAAATCTATTCTTTAAAGAGTACTAATGCGGCTTAGCGAATCTGTAGGAGATCCGGACCAACGATTTGAAATTGGCATCTTCCATTGACACCAGTCCCAGCCCTGTGTCCCACTGGGACATTTTAACCGAACAGTGTGGTCTGATGGCACCAAAAAGAGAATAAAATGTCAAGAAGGAGCAAACAATTAACGCGAATCTTACGACAATACTTCAAGTCCTTTTAAATAAATGATTCTACCTTTAGGCTGGTGCGTCCACCACTGGCAATGGACGTGTGCAATGGTCACTGCACTCTCCCCTTCATAATGCAAACTTCGACTTGGAAGAAGTTCCACAGGCAGCGTATCGCTTTGACTGCGTTGAAATGAGTGACGGTGGAGGTCGACAAGGAGCAGCATTGACGACGAAGCTTTAAGTGGGCTGTTTAAGTATACTTTTGCTAAGCTCCAGTTTTAAAATCAACCTTTTCGCACATCAGTCCCTTAGCAAGCCAACACGAGATTTTCTATCTTACTGCTATAACTTCTTTTGATCCGAGAAGAGACACAAACCGTCACTTATCAGTTCATCATATTGTCTAACCATGGATACGGTAAAATACTTTGTTCGGTATGATAAACTTTTGCTGGCACAGACGTTGATGGGTGTGCATTTTACAATGGGGAAGAAGCAGAGCATTGAATAAAGTCACCATCATCTCCCCAATGAAAATCTCAAAGTGTCTTCCTCATGCGATATTCATGAGTTTGAAAAGGTCGTTGATTACATCTCTTGACCGATTTCAGGTTTCTCTGGCGTCCTCGTCACTCATCCTCCCAGAGGATTTAAATAAAATTACAAAGCAAGGAGAGCAGCGAGTCTTGTAAAAATGTGCCTCTGTTGTCCATTGAGCGGTACAACTCATTAATATGCCATGGGTTTCACTTTTAATACCTTGCCTTAGGTCGTCGTTTTAAACGACTTTTTGCCTACTCTTACGACGATTACGCTTTAGAAGGACTACTTGAACTGCTTTCCCATTATACATTATGCAAAGTCGCCAAAATTTAAGGGTAATGGGACCAACACATTTGTTAAACGTTCCTTACTTGCAGTTTTCCAAACATTTTTTTGAAGTCAGAAGGAGGTAGAGGGCTAATATAAGGAGGCCATCGGCCTGACCTGAACCCACGCCACTCAGTGAATAACCGAGGATAGAATGTTAAGGCTCCGTGAGCCCAACGCAAAGAAATTATGAAATGGGAAAAAAGTAATACAATTAGACCGGCGATCATTGTGCTCAAAGCACTCTCCACTTAACTTGTTCAGTGCCTTTAAAATAAAATGCATCAGTGAAGGCTTTTGGGATGCATCACCTCGGGTTACCAACGCTCTCATTTACTGCTATATTTGCCTTAAAATGTTGATCATAAAATGCTTGATGCATGATGCAAACAAACAGTCTACTTTTCGCCTTATTCGCCGCGTGATTTTACGACTCAATGCGGCAGTCTACCGCATTCTTTGATTGCACAATAATCGACATCTACAGAACTTTGCTGTCGTTGGGAGACAACAATTGTGATGAGCAGCAGTTCGGTTAACCAGCCAAAAAACCAAGCAAGTTCAACGATTTTTCTGAGACAATTAGTCGCTCATTTGGGTGCGTTCAACAACAGCGGATTGTTGGTACAGCTTCCGTGTTTTCTTTAAAGCTGTAAAGTTAGCTTTGAACTTCCTAAAAGAAATCATAACTGTTGATGTGGTTTGTGATTTTTGGCGATCTCGGAGAGATAAAATTACTTTGAACGCTTGATCACTGATAGATAAAAAGTGAGATTTTATGTAAAGTTGGTCGACCCAAGAGACGAGGTGGTGGAAAAGGTTTCATTTACAACAATGTGCTGTCATAGGGTTGAAAGATCCAAAAACAAAGCTCAATAAATATGAGTATGGCAGAGCATAAGTGGTAGGGCAGGTAAACATAAAACTCGCGCTTGTCCTGCTAATTCGATCATCCATTACGTGTGTCACATCGCATGGAGGGGAAATTCACCTTTTTATTCAGTCGGTTTCTCAGCACAGGTATTAGGAATTTCGTGCAAATACAAGTTTTTAGAGAAAAATACCCCCTAATAACTTTTGCCTAAGGCCTTAAGAACATGCGTCTTTCGTGTTGCCATAATGCTCAAGTAAAGAAAACGAAAGTTACAATATAATTGTATGTTCATAAGCAGCGGAGTTCACTTCTTTGTGTCAAAATTGTAAGATGTCCTATAGCTTCTGTCGGAGCTCATGAGTAAGAATATTCGAAAAATCTGCTTCAAAGTCTTACCCAGCTTCATTACGACAAATTCTTATTAATTTTTAAATATTAAAATACGCGAATGATGTCAAGTCGTATTTGCACGGATAGAAATTTAATGTCCCACGATTTTACCGTCAGAGTGATCAATTATTGGCTGAAGCTCCAAAGGAATGAGCATCGAAATTTCAGTTGTCCAACTTTATTCCCAAAGTCTGCCCACTTCCTACCACGGACGGAGACGTAGCCGGACTGATTCTGGTCGCCATCTCTAGCGATTAAAGAAGGATGTTGTGCATTCTCTGTGGTTCCATGAAAACACCCAAGATCAGTTTAAATTCAAAGACATCAATTCCATTTTAGAAATTTGGTTTTTGTAGATGCTACTTATAATGATAAGTAGCCTTTCCTGCAAATGGCTTGCTTTCCTTAACCATAAAGACAACTTTGCGCTGCCCAAATAGTTTCTTATTTTTGAAAGGAATTTTAATTCATCAACGTAATTTGACTAGGTATCCCTAATCGTCAAACCATCCCAACAACACCGTTCTGGTCACGTCGTTGCAATGATATTCTACTTTCTGCTAATGATTACGTATTTTGCTACTCTCGGGATAACTTTTGAGTCTCAGCATATATATTACTTTCAACTGTCTTTTCCTGAAAAATTTGTGCATTGCGATTTCAGTCTTTGAAAATCACAAGTTGCATCTGGGCCATTGAGTAGGAGAACAGTTTAACTTCACCCATTTACCCTTGCCAAAGCTTTTCCTTGCTCAAGACATGCTTAGAAGATGATTAAGTTAGGTTATGTTATCTATTACTCACAAATTTTGTAATGGAAAATTTGCCACCTAATTGCATTTGCACTGATCTTCACATAGAAATTTAATAAGCTGAATTTCAAGAGAAAGCATTGGGCACTCCTCCCTTCAATTCTCTTTCCATAACTATGTAAATTAAATCCATGCAAAATTTTATTAGTCTCATGCTCTACTGATTGCGTTGTGATATGCCAATTATTTTGATCTATTTACATTCTTATGCCAGTTTTGTTTTTTGGTTTCTCCTTTAACAGCTGGCTTTCTACAGTTCTATTTTGCTTAAATTTGTGTTGAAAGTTATGACAGTTATCGGGCACGTTAAGGGAGAAAGCAATTTCTCTACTGGCCTGCGGAAGAGCTGAGGTTGAAGAGCCCAAGTGTGGGATGAGTCTTTGATACAACCGAGATTTTGGGAAATACCCAACTGATCGTGCGCTGATGGAAGCTTACGCTTTGATTGTGAACACGATTCCAACCGCTGAAAATCGAATTATTATTCACCTACCTTAGGAGTAAATTGTACCTGTTTCTAAAGTACCCATGGATCTCCACCATTTTTGCCCCTTTACTACTTTACAGTTCATAGTCTTCCGTTCTAATCAGTGCTTTGTCCCCTTGGTCAGACGTCAGGTTTAGAGAGTCAATTCTTTTCTTTAAGCACCTGTATTGTTATGGCGACATTTTTTCATGTTTCATTAAGCCTCACTTAAGGGTCTCAACGATCTCCAATCACTTGCTTAAACCGTCTCACAGTTGCAGCCTTTGAACTTTCGACTGATTAAATTGCTGTTTTAAGCACAAAAAAGAGTTCGTTGGGTTTTTTTTAAGGGAGAGGAACGATGTTAACTCAAAGCTAAGCACAGCTGTTACCCAAGTTTTTGCCCTATTATCGAATGCTAGCATCTCATATGAGCCATCCTTCCACTCTTCTTCCTGTAGTTCTCCTTTAATCTTCCCCAAAGAGCTCCATTAATAAATAAAAACTGCTGTTCAAGCCGCTGACGATTATACCTGAACAAACAACCGAGGTGTCCTTTAATCCTACGGCTTGGGCAACAGCGCGCACAAATGCGATTCGCTCGACCGAAGTACATTTCATGAACGGTTTCAGCCTCAACCCTCTTCATCTAGGCGGCAGACACGGGGTTGACTGACGAATGCTGGCGATGTGTACAGGTCTTTAAATGGGTTAACATGTAACAGTAAAATTCGATTGGTGTTGATAGAATTAATTTCTAGAAAGGTGTTAAAAGTGGCCTAAGGGAAGTGTGATAGAAGAATGCTGCTCAAAGACCCATCTTTTGAATCCATCCAGTTTTTGAATTTAGCTGTTTTAAGCCAATATTTAAGCTCACTGCAAGCGAATCACCAAGTTGACAGTGAATAAAGGCACAACTAAATTGAAGAACGTATATCATGAATTTACCAGTTCATGAAAAAGACTTTGCGAGAAAAGGTGGGAAAGCCAAGGACCGAAAAATCCGTAATGACGATGCCGTGCAGACGATCCAATCCATCCAACCATTTCTCCACTACAGTGTTGGCAATTCTGGCTAGATTTTCTATTCCACCCTTGGGGTTAAGCAGGAGATAGTCTAGATTGGGAGAGAGAATGCCCTGAAAGACTTGAAAGTAGCCTGGGCGGTTTTTTCGCATCCAACCTCTAAAGGTAACAAGGAACGCATTTATGAGTTGCTTGGAAACGTCAAAGGAGGTTTGTGCAGTTATTCCTAAAAGGTGCATGGGTTATGCTCAGCTACTTCCTCCACAATCACAGATTATTTAATTAGGCATGAGTTTCATTGTGAAAATAGTTTGATACTGGACTCAAGTGGTGGCAGCTCTCGAAAATCATATGGCACCTATCTAACAGCCTCGCCTTCACTCGCAATCTTTTGAGAAGTTGAACGAAATTTTCAGCTATAAAACTAACTTGAGGAGCTTGGTAAGAAAGGTACGCAGAAATTCAGGGTTCCTTGTATTAGGCCACGGTTGTCTAACAGCAGACCTCGGCCACAGCACTGAAGTGCCCTCCTGAGATTTGTCCAGCTTCTTCTCATAGCCCAAAACGATGACTTGCGTTTTGCGTGACCACATGTCCGCCAATGAAGGTATTTGACTTCCATAAGGTTCTAGCTTTTCTCCAAACACCTATTAGTCAATGTAGAGCGTCTATAGGATGCACTTACTTCCTTGACCAGGTCTGTGAACACGGACTTCAAAGATTCGTTTAGCCCATGAAAGTGCTGAAAGTCGATTATGACCACTTCTTTAGGATGGTGCTCCAAAAAGCTCTTAATTGTCTTTAACTCCTCGCTGACTCTATTGGCATACTGCCCGTGGACAAGGAAGAAGCAGGTGTAAATGTCGCTGGAGAAATTAGGGTGTGAATTCACACAAGTGTGCTTATCCATAGCAACTCGCATGTCGAAGTAACGAATTCCTGACTGAAGTTGAGTTGTGAAATTAGTGTTTTGGGTCACAGACCACTTGGAGAAGGGAATGTCAAAGAAGAGGCCAAGGACTCTGGTCAGGAATCCAAAACTCATGTCAGGAGAGATCGGAGAAGATTCCTCAATGCTGTAGCTCCCCGAATTGTGTGTCCCTGAGGAATAGTGACATGAAGAAATTGAATGAAGCAACTAATCTTAGCTATGCAGACGTCTTTTGCCTTCCGAAAAGTCTGCGAGTGCTTCACATTTGTGCTTTGATGCAGTGAATAACTTCATGTTCGCGAATTGGTTATCTCTCCGTTAATTAATTAAGAAAATGTGGAGGGAAATTTGCTTGTGATATGAATGTATTAAGAGATAAAGGAAAAGGTAATTTCGGTTGAAATAGCAAGCATTGCCTCAACAACAAGCTTACCGGGTATGGCAATTCGGGAAAGCGGTACTTTGGTTGTCTCCTCGGGCAAATAAGCCATCCAATCGCTGGCGGGAACTTCATCCTGCTTGTGTAAGTTTATGGAAGCTCCCTTAGGTTTTCAGTTAACTACGAATTTTGACTGCATCATGACTGGTTCGACCCATATGAACTAAATAGATGCCAATTATGTGCACATAAAACGTCCCGGTTTTGTTTGAACAAAATCTTTAATCGCATCTTTGTATCGAAGCTGAGGTGGTTACATATTTATTTAATATGCAACACTTTGTAGAACTTGACGTTAATTAGCTCTTACGTTAGGCTTTGTGAGCATCTTAAGATTACACATTATTGCCCTGTCGAATAGCATGATTTCAGGGCCAAATTGGTGGCCCCAGCTCACCCTCTGCGTCAGCAACTCATAATGTCATTGCAGCGTGGCTTATTCATCTCAAAGGCGGCCTCGATGACATGCACCTTATCACGATCTGACAGCCTGTTTGCATGTACACACAGTTCATACGAGTTTCGAGTAAAAAAGTTAACCAGAATCAATCTAATTACTTCGCAAAACCGAGAGTTGGAAGTGATTCGGTACTTCTAACTTGGGTGGCATCAAAGGGGAGGATCGCTTACCTGTCTTTGTAGCGGTGTTGGTCGTGGTGCTGTGAGCTAAATCTCATCTAAGATGAAGTTATTTGGGACCTACATTCGAAAGAAAGGTGAGCTATGAAATGCGACTTTCAAGGAAGCTGCTTACAAGAATGAACTGGACCAGACTCATGGACGGCGCCTGTGATTTGGTGATTTCCAAAATGAAGCGTTTACGTGTGTGTGTATGTGTGTGTGCGTGTGCGCATGTGCAACCAAATTGAACGTACGTGTTTACTCCAAGGCTTGG